TGTTGACACGACACTTATGTCATTGATTGACCCATATCACATTATCTCAAATGGTGGTAATACAGGACACATAATTTAGTCAAGTCTCTGAAGATTCACCCACCAAAGCCTATTCCTGTCAGAAGTTAACCCAGTTCAACAGGAAATCCTTATAAGGCTGCTGAATAATCATTACAAGTTCTACAATAAAGCTTCCCTGTCATGCAAAACCATGGACTCATGCTCTCATGGGGTAGCATGCGGTCATATCTACAATAACAAATAAAATGCAGCAAAACCACCTTCATGTCTCTGCAGGTCCATAAGGACCCCACACCCTCCATGTCCCTGTGATTACCTCATACATCAACAGCTAAAGAGAACGCAGCCGAGGCCTCATCAACATCACAGCGCATGGACTGTGTTCCTGCCCGGTAGCCCTCGTTAAAAACTTCCACAACTACTAACAATTACAAAGACAGCATGGAAGATCATTGCACATAAAATGCCCTCTTTGTTCCAATGCCCAGACAGAGGGGGCTCTCAGAGCAGTATGAACAGATGGATTTGATTCTGTAAGGAAACTAGAGGACGTTCAACACCAATCACATGAGTGATGCACCGGAAAAGATCTAAATATGGTCAATGCATATTGCACTGATCTGATGTTAATGCATAAGCATTGCAAGTAAAAAATACTGACTGTGGCCATGCAGTCACAATAATGGAAAATTAAATGCACGAATTCAGTGACATGCTATGCATTCTATCAAGATAATTGGGTTAATGACAAACATTACTGAGCTTGACACAGGGTCTGTGTCGTGAGGGTCTGCAGGGGTCCTCACTATGATATCATTTAGCTTTTAAATTTTTCTTTTGGAAAGTTTCTGCAGACTTTTTTTATTAATACATTTTTAATAATTTAATAATCCACTTTTCTAAGAAATACAAATGTAGCTTTTTTTTTTTTAAATGTAGCTTTTCTTAATTATAAGATCAGGACAGTTGTATCACATATTTAACATATTTATCAACATATGTAACTTTATATTAACCAAAAACATCAAAAATAGGAGTTGCATTTTTAATGCATTTTTTATTATTAATGTTTTTAAGTACACGCAAAATTCTTATTGTACATATTAAAATATATTTTTAAAATATATAGAACAATCAAACTATTTTCAAGGTAAAAGGGCATTTTACAACCTGAACTATCTCAGGGTTATTATAGATAACTAAAACTTAAACCACAGAAACTGAAACAATATAAAAGTTACTTACAAATAAAATTTAAATATTAAAATAAAAAAACATGTTTACTTATTTTATTTGATCTAGTTGACAAGGCAAAATTTCAAAATTTTTGTGTCATATAACTTGAATGAAATGAATGAAAAATGATAAAAATATAAAATACAAATGTATTCAAAATATTAATACTAAAAGGGATACTAAAATAACACTGAATAATCTTCTTACCATGTCACTAATTTTTAAAAGACCTATTAACCTTGACACACAATCATGGTGGTCTCTATGACATGAATTAAATTCAAATTAAATTATAAATGCTAAACAATAAGTTTTTTTTCTCTCTCTCAAGAATTGTGCTCCTTTTATTTATTTTTTTCATTATGTTATCAGGACAGTATCACCCTAACATTATTATTTTTTTTTTTTTACTTTATGCTCCCAGACAATATCGAATTTAATTTAATTCAGAAAATAATGAGAGAAGTCACTGTATGTATGAATCTTATTTTTAATGAATAATTAGTAGATCTGGAAGAATTTTCCCAGTAAGGTTTTAGGCCACTGACCCAAAACTACAAAAGTGAAACATCATACCTCCTACATTATCATATTCACCAACACCAAATTTTACTAGCTTGGTGTTCTGATGAAGCTGGTTGACCAGGGGAAGCCAGCTAGTTAAGAAGCCTGACAGGAAATCCATCATCCAAAACACAACACATGCCTGTGATCAGCCATCTTGGTCTTTTCAACAAAGTAAATACACTCATAACAAGGAACAGCACTTTCCCAGGGCCGAAGGTTACTGCATTACATTGTTTAATGGAGAGCAGCCCAGTTACAGAGCCTCTGATTATCACATCTTCCAGGATGGAAGACATTCACAGCAAAACGCTTCTCTGCGGTCATGGCTTGTGCTCCGTGCTGCCTCAGCTCACAATAAAGTCTAATAGTCATTTCCTGATGGACCTCCTTCAAAGGAATCTTTTAATATGATTGTCATATTTCAGCCTGCAGTTATGTAGGCTAAGTGAGATTAAAATGAAGTACAAAGACAGGCTGGATGATGCAGCACACATAATAAAGAGTCAGTCCGTCTAAACTGGCCTGTGAACGTATAAGCACACATTCAGGATCACTATTGACATACATTGGCTTCTTCTATGCTCCATACAAAGCAGCCAAACCTAAGTATCTTTTCGAGAGGGAAGTCAACAAAAAACAATTAACCTAAATTACAGTCTGGCTGATCCATTCAGCATGCAGCAAGGAAATTACATAGGCTAACCTATATTTTTGTGACGCATTACCTGCATGATGGAGGAGCTGAGCCTGCATTGCTTTCACCTTGGTCTAATTTGTCCGGTCAGGGTGACACTTGCTGACTGTATTTCCATAACATAGATCTTTCTCAATCTACAGCAGCGAGGCTATCACAGACACTCTGTCCTTACGTGACCCTGGATTAGCCTGCATGTCATTTGCCGATAGCGACCACAGTGAATGGCTTGTCAACTAAATGTATACTTGAAATGACCCTATGCAATCAATTTGCACACTGCAGAAAAACAAACTGCTGATTTTACAAAGCCTCAAATCGCATTCTCTCTTCAAATTACATACACTTTGGATTCATGATGCATGCATGAAAAGACTCATCATCTGCCCAGACCAAAATGCTGTATTGCAGATATAATTAATACAGTTTAATGATAGCAAATAATATTATTTATATTTATAGCCTATATATAAAAAGAATCTCGTTAACGATCACAAAACCTCTTAAATATTACTTTTTTTGCATAACACCGGAAGATTTGCATAACACCGCCCAAATGTTCACGCAAAGAAAGTTAAGTCAGCATTTCTCCTGTCTGACCAGCAGAAATCCAACATTAGCAGCTAGTCTGTCAAGGCGAACTACTATGACCTGTGACCTAACCCTGCCATTTTGCAAATGCTTTATTTATGCTTAGAGTTGCTTGCTGCATCCATTTTTCCACCCTTCCCATTGGGCTACAAACTATATGATTATAGTCATTCTGTTTAACATACCACTTCCTCTTGCAGTGTTTTTCTAAAGGGCAGGCAGAGAGTTTCTCCTATTTTAACCTAATATTTAAGGCAACAAAAGTGGAAGGTGCCACTGGCAGAGTGCCCAATAACAGGTCAATACTTTCAGACTCTGTGGCTTCAGTCCTTTTCCTCTCAGGCACTAAAGTAAGCCCTCAACCCCCTTGCTTAAACACACCCATCCTTTCATTTGTTCTACACCAGATACATTTACACAAACACTTTTTACAACCATTCCATTCTGGTTCATCAGTTAGTGTTTCTTACACGAGACATTGGAATCTGAATCTTCACTGAACATAGAAGTTAAATCCCAAAATAAATACTATACACTATATGCAGTATAACAAAGGTAACAAATTTATGTTTTAAAAACATTGTAGGAAATGTTTCTAAAACGTTGAATTGTCCACTTACTTTTCATGATTAGAGCTTTGTTTAAAGGTTACAAAAAACATTATTTAGAACGTTTATCATGTGCAAATAACATCATAAGGACGTTGCAAGAATGTTGTTCTCAAAATGTTTTCTATCATCATTATGAGAACATTCATCAAGTAACATCATAAGGACATTCAGAGAATGTTGATCTCAGAACGTTTTCTCTCAATGTTATGAGAATGTATATCAAATCTGAATAAAGTTATATGAATGCTCCACAAACATTACTTTAAGAATGTTTTGTCCTTACATTTACATATATTTAAAAAAAAAGATCAGTGCAAGTTGAGAGAATGTTCTCTGTTAGCTGGGATGTACCCTTCTGTCAAATGCATGAATTTTAAAATGTAATTTTCTCATCCAAAATAAAAGTCTAATGAGTGCAATAAGTGTACAACATTTCAAACTTTTTTTTTTTGGTTAATTATTTTGCATCATTTGGGTAATTGATTTTTGGCTTTTCTTTTTGGAATTTTCAGAGTGAACTACTCACTATTTATACTATAAGATGGTATAGAACACTGCATAAGTAGCCTACAGTACACACATTGGGATGCACCTAGTAAGTTTTTGTTAATATTTATTTCTCAATAATAAGCTACCAATGGTTTTAAACTTTATACGGACACCTATTGGACTGGATGCATTATATTTGTTTGTTTGTTTGCTAACTGCTGCCACTTCACTAGGCTGTTTGTTTATTTAGTTCGGACATTTTATTTAGAAATTAATATGACAGTTACACCTATATATAAAATATAAGCCAAAAAAAGCCAAATATGACTGAATGCATCTTTAAAGTTATAAAAAGTCATATTGCTATTAACTAAAAGTCTAATGTGATGTTCATTAAAAAAAAACTTAGATCATACATCAAACTCACATAAATAAATAATTAAAACTTTGCATTAATTTACATTTAAGTACAGGCTATGTTACCTTCATAAGTATATTAAAAGAAAAGAAATGCCAATTAAAGTATTAACGATAATATAGGCTGACACACGCTCTGCTGTCTTGGGCAGCTTTAGATTTAAAAAAAAAAATATTTCTAAAATTAGATAAAGAGCTTATTATTGTTAGTTAAATAACAGTTAATTTTAAGTTTAACAGCTAACGGAGCATTTACCCATATCGCAGACATCCCAGCTCGCTAGGTAAACTTCACCGCAAACTCGCATGTTAACTTTAAGGTAAATCCAATTCAAGATGACACGTTATCATCCTGGAAAAGATTAAGTACCCACCAATGCAGGCGCCCAACAGAAGCCCCACGAGAGGTAGAAGTCCATGGAAAAACGTGCTATTCCCAAAGATGTGTCTTACTTCCTCTGCCATGGTTTCACACTGCAGTAGTGAGTTCCTACTCGATGAACAAACTCGGTGTCTGATCCACAGCAGCCGAACCGCGCGTGGGCGGTACCTTCAGTCCAGCAACGGTTTCCGACTAAAAATAAACCCGTCAACAAAGCGGAGCAATGGAAGCATTGCAATGCAGTTAGCATTTACTTTCTTTCGGACACAAACGATTGATGAAATTATGATAGCAACAGCAAAATAAATGGAGAAAACAAGGCTGCACAAGGTCAAAAAGCGAAAGAGTGTCCCGGGATGTCTTTAGGTTTTTTTTTTGAAGCTCCTTTAATCGATATAGCCTATGTTCAATCGTCTAATATAGGCTGTGCATCTGTGTTGTCAGCGCTACTATTACAGATTCTTTAACTGCATTTGCTCGCGCTGGAATAGCCTACATTTGCTAAAATGTTCATTGTAACATTACAAAAGTAGATATATCAAATGGCTTGGCTCAATGGGGTGCTGGGAGATGTCGCCCGGTTCACTCAGATTAAAGAGTGAGCCATGCTGGGCACGCTTTCCATGATCCTTGTGTTTTATTTATGTGTTTCAAGAGTGATAAATCCCCAGCTGAGTGGTGCCATTTACACCAATCAATCATTTTTATTGGCCCTCTTCTGAATGTAACTCTTCTCTCACTAAAATGCAAAGACTTCTGGATCTTGATGATGCACAGACAGACAAATATTTTCGTGGAGGTGGAGTTTGAAGTGGAAACATATCAAATTCTAAGACATTTCTAACTATTAGGCCATTTTAACATTTGTCTTTCTTTTTAACTTTGTAATAAAGATCTGCTGATCATTATACAATGTAGCATGATAGTTTGTTCTTAATTGTAGTTATTATAAAATGTTACAGTGGAAATCTAGCAAGAGTTTTATACTGGGGGCCCCTGAGCTGACTGAGAATCTAAGTGGGGGACCCTGGGTCTGTAAACAGAGAAAAACCCTTGACTTAGAGGATTCTCAGTATAAATACTGGCCAGATCAACCCTTAATAAACAGAATTTCGATGTCCGTAGGAAAGTAATATGCAACACTGTGCTGTATATTACTGAAAATGAATGAAAATTCAATTTAAGAACATGTATCAAATATATTTTGTGACATCGAGTGTCAAAAAGAAAAACTTTCAGCTCTCTTATCACCTGACAATTCTGTCATCATCTGTAGAACACAAAAGTAGATATTGTTTGGAATGACAGTTGTACGGAAAACAATATTAAATATTATTGTATTGAAAAAGTTTTGCAATAAAAGTGTATGGTGCCATGCTGCATACCATCTACTTTAGTGTTTAGCAGAAGAAATAGCTAAGTCAGAGGTTTAGAACAACATGTTGAGTAAACGATCACATAAATCTATTTTGGGTAACCATTTACTATGATCTGTTTACAGTTAATAACAGACTTCTATACTGTAATTAGACTCACTAAAATATTATTACAGCGTATTTCTACATTCAAGCAGCCAAACTTTTTTCCTTTTTCCGTAAAAAGCATGACACAGCCCTCTGTTGGTCAAAACTGTGAACTTGACTAAATAAAAGCATCTTAAACTTTAAGTTAATTATAGTCATTATAATAGTGATAATGTAATTTAATTAGTTTGCGTGTGAATGAAAAGTTTTATAACGCATTGGACAATGCAATAACACTGTTCCACAAAATATTTGAAATATATATCAATTCATTGTAAAACTTATAAGCACCATAACTCAGTTCAAGTAAATAATTGATTGGAATTCACACATTTTGCAAAAACTGTTCTAAATAAAATTTCCATTTATTAGGATAATAAATAACAGCTGATCTCTACAAATATAAAACACACTGATTGCAACTTTGTATACACTGGAATATCACAACATGTGATATGATTTCATTGTTGCATTAACACACATGTAATTGCACTAAAAAATAAACCAACAATATGAAAATATATACATATATACAAATACTTCCAAAGCAATTTCTTTGCAGGCTTCACCTCTATATGGGGGGGGACTTTTATCTGCTCTATCGTTATAAACATCAACCATATCAATTCAGTGAGGCCTTCATTGGTTATTCCAATACCAATACTGATTGCAAATTCATGTCAAGGTGCATTCTTGATTCAGTCATACTCATTGAGTGATTCACTGCTGGCTACAGAATACCAATGTCACGAACACATAGTAGTTTTTCTAGTCTTCACGAAGGTAGGCCTCTGGAATATCTTCCAGATCATTAATATCAATGCTGGAGACATACTCAGCCATTCTCTGGATTTCTTCTGCTTTCGTTTCGGCCAGTTTTTTCTCTGCTCCTTTTGAGATCTTTCTAAGCTCTTCCACCTTGCACTGTGCCACCTGCAGATTAGTCTTTGTTGCTGTGCATGCATGCTCTGCTCCTGTAAAATATTAAGGTTGAATCAATTCACAGACCAGACCAAAGTCATATGTACAATAAATTATTTTTTTTAGTCTGAATAGTAGATACAATCTAATTATTAACTTATAAACATACCTGAATTGTAGGCTGCTTCTGCTGACAACTCACAGATGTTGATGGCATTCATCCAGTTTGAATCAAAACGTTTGGATTCTTCCAATCTATCACTAACCTGAAAAAAGCAAAAAACCCAGTGAATGCTCTAAAATCAAGTGTTCTCTTGAATTAAATATAACTAGGCTACCTTGATATCCACAAGATCTGCCTTAATTAAGATCTATACTGTTGCAAAATGTAAACAACACTTAGATAAACTAAAGCAGACCCTGTTCTACAAAAAGTAAATAAACATTTAATGGAACAGCATTTACCTCCACTCGCTGGCCAATGATCACCTGCCAAATGCTGTCCTCTTCAGCAGGGGTCAGTTTTCCTATTGAGGTTATGTATCGCTTCTGAAGGGCAATGAGTGTATGTAGAGCCTAAGAAAAATAAATACGGTAAAATTACTTTATTTATTTATATTCAATATATATATATTGTATTAGAAACATAACACCTTTGTCAGCAATCAAGTGATCTACTAATTGCGAAGCTAATTTTACTAAGTGAACTATAGGTTTAAGATGCAGTGTTTACAAGTCTTACCTTGGCATATTGAGTGAGGGCATCCACAAGAGCCAGTGTGGTCTGAGAGAGGTAAGTGTTGGCACTGTCTGTGACCAAACATGAGGCCCGACGAATCAGGGATTCATGTGAAAGATTTCCAACCTGCTGAAGAAAAAAGGGATGCATTTTATTACACTTGTCATCAGGGAGCAAAACATGATCATGTTGAACTACATGGTTAGCCGTCTCTGTATTTTGCAAGAAATATTTCTGATTTGTTATTTTGTTGCTTTAATGTGGCTGACTGCATTAAAGCAGCATTCAATAAACAAAAATAAATAAATTTGCAAAAATGCGACAGTAACTGAATCGACGAATCAGAAATGCACGTTCTCTATACGGGCGTTTTACAAGTTTGTCATTTGTTCACTGTCTATAGCTTATATGTAACATGTAAACGTTTATGCATTAGGTTACCTGTGTGAAAGGAACCGCACAGAGGCTGCTGCCGAGACTGAACGCGACTCTATTGGATCGGCCAACCTCCGGCAGGCGCAGGAGACGCTGATGAACGGGGCTTCTGCAGAAAACGTTAGCCTTGTCCCTGTAATATAAGACAATAAATTAGAATGAGCACAGAGCTTAGTTGAAAATAACTTCCTAACACCCACTTCTACCACGACTTTTTGCAAAATATGAACGCAATCTTACTTGAGAGGCTGAACGCATGCAGCACTCAGTCGCAGGACTGCCATGTTTCTCCTGGCGACCAGAAAGTCGGTCCGGCCTTTAAGAAGACTCCCACTAGCACACAAACCGCAGTTACTAAAAGCCTGCATATTGCCTTACAGTCTTTTACTACTACTAACTTAGGTTTATCCCTTTAGCCTGTATTTGTCTTTAAGCAGCTCTTCAATGTTTTAAGTTGACAGCACTGCCCACCGGTATTTATATACTGCTATAGGACTCTGCCCTCCATGCAGTCTATTGATCCGTTTATTCAGACCTTTAATCTTGATTTTAGCGGTTTAAGTTCAAGGAAAGATTGGTTTGACGCACATTTACACAGTCAGCACAAAGGCTGTGGTAAACACTATTGAGCTCTTAGTGATTGAGCTGCAGCACAAGGTGACACCAGCTATCACAAAACATGTATTAAGAACATAACAGGCACAGGAATTGATGAGCATGGCATGTACGTCTTAAAGGGGTGTGGCAGAAAAACAAGTCAACATGATAAGAAACAGACTTAGTGGACAAAAATGTATCTATCAAGGCAACATAAGGAGCCTACTGTGTGTTTACATTGAGTTACATACAGTAGTCTGATACCTAAAGAAAGCCTAAGATAGACCAATTCAGTCGACCTCAACTAATAACTTATCTTTCAGCTTTGATGTGTCAAAGTGAATTGGTCTAAATACTTTCTCAAGTCTTCATTATCAGCATGCTGAGTGACAGTTATTCAGGACTATTTGTACTGCTCTTGTTGTCATGCCTCAAGGGCTATAAGGAAACTTTTGCAGCAAAGGAAACCTAAATAAAATTAACAAAAATCTAAAATAAAATTAACACATACACTCCTGTTCAAAAATTTAGAAGAAAAGGTAGGAAAGAAGTCTCACCAAGGCTGCATTTATTTGATAAAAATAGAGTAAATAATGATTTGGTGCTCACAAAACATTTCTTATTATTATAAATATTGAAAACAGTGCTGCTTAATATTTTTGTGGTATAACGGTGATGCTTTTTTTTTGATGAACAGAAAGTTTGATAAACAGAAAGATATAATTGTCCTTACTGTCACTTTTGATCCATTTAATACATCAAATCAAAGTTTTAATTAATTTTATTATTTATTTCATTTGTTATTTTTATTTCATTTATGCTTCATTATATAGAGGAAAAACTGAGGGATATGCAGGGAAATATTCTGTTCTTTAGATGCTGAACATTTTGGAATATTTTCCTTTGGCCAGTATTGTTGCTATATATATACTGTATATATATTTGTAGCATATTGACAGTTCAGTTTTCAAGCTATCTGTTTGGTAAATGTTTAACAGTGCACAAAACCTATTCCATTAAACCATTTGCTTCCAAAACACATTTAAAACCATTTTAAAGAGTATTCATATCGGAAAAGTACACATAAAAAAGAAGACCCTTAAGTTATGAAACCTCTCAGGCGAGTTCAGAAAGTACTTATCTTAGGCAGTAGTATAAGAATGTACAGGTAAACAAGGACTTTATAGAGCTCAGGGTCCAAATCACAAGAATACACAGAAATCACAACAAAGGCTGTTTGGAAGTCATGATTGCATCATGTCACAGTGGCTTGCAAGGCCACATAACATTATAGACCCGTAGCAAACATGTTGGCATTTTCGCAACTTTAATTTGCATGATGTTGTAGGTGGTTTATTTTTAAATAATTGCTAATAGTTTAAACTTTATCTTCATTACTCATTTAGGCTATTTGTTTATACATACTGCAATACGTGTTTGAATTGCACTCTGATTCAGATACAGGGAGTGTTTCTTTGTAATGTTATAATCTAACCTGAAGGTTGCTATGAACATGCCAATGAAACAGTGTGTACACTATTTTGTGAGTAATATGTGTTTATCCTAAAAAGGAAATGAATTACATTACATAAACTGTATTGATTTGATAATGTTGCTAAAACACAATGCTGTTCATGTACTGTATTTAAATTATGGCGTATGATCATATGTACTTTTATTTCAATTCAATTCATTTATTTCCATAGGCTGTGATACTTGTAATCACTGATATTATTATTTTCCTAAAAGGCCTTAAACGGAGAGTGAACCTTTAGATGGAGAGTGAAAGTAACTTTATAGAAGTTACACATGAAAAACATTTGGAAGACAAAACAATTGAGGAATTACAAATCCAACATGTAAATCTGAATAATTGTTTATTAGTATATATTTAAAAAATGTTTTTGGCTATGTTAGATTGACATGTTACTGATGTGCACCTGAAGGCTGCAAAAGACCATTTAACATGTTTGCTATGTGTGCTAAGTGCTTTCCTTTATTTTATTTATACAGAAATAATTGAATTTCATTAAATACATTGATAATATTTTAATCCAAGGTTAATCATATAAACTAAATACAGGGGCTCAGAATGTAATGTAATGCATGAGATAATTCTTATGATCGAAGAAATGTTGTTTAACAATCATGTGATTGAATATTAAGCAAGTAATGTAAACAAAGGCGTCTCTTTTCCATTAATGATGCATAATCCGGCCAACAGAGGTCGCTATTAAACAATATACTGAATGTGAGAGGCACCTTGCAAAAATCTTACTGGCCAGTCTCAAACGTCTTTTTTTTTACATTAAATATTATGGAGTACTTGATAACCACTCTTAATGCATTTACTTCATCAAAACTGTTATGTGTTAAGAATATGTGTTGTTTTAATCAAATAACTTATACATTTGTATATAAATTTAGGCCTGTTAAAATCACATGGGCAATCTTAAAACATTAACAACCATGTAGTTTGACTGAATTATTGTTAAAAACTTTACTAAAAGATAGTCATGATTGTTTAATTGTGTCAGATGAGATGGTGTTGTTTTTGCATCTGATATAATAAACCATAGCTGCGTAGAATTTCTCATCTCTAAATCCATAGACGAGAGGACTTACTGCTATAGAAGTGATACTAAATGCAAGGAAATTTATAAATCGGACAGTCAGGTATGTTTGAATATCATACTGCATAACTACAGCCTCAATGTAAGGACACATGACCTCAGCCGTACACAAAAACAGCTGAAGGATATGAAGAGAAATAGTGCGCTGCCCTTTTGATGCTGACTTCTTATTGTCACCAGACGCTGCACGTGCAGCAAGGTATATCATTACATAACAAAAGATTTCAATTATCAAGATAAACACAAGCCCCACAACATACAAAAGACCCCTAGCAAAGTGACGAATCTTTTCGGGAATCATAATCTCATAGTGGCAGTGTGTCAGTTGAGACAAGTATTCACGAGAGGCAGTGCTAATGAGGATAAACATATCAACAAAGGGGCTTATGGAGCTCAGGATCCAAATCATTAAAATCACTATTAGGGCTCTTCTAGAGGTGGAGATCATCTGATGTCTTAGTGGCATGCAAATGGCCACATAACGCTCCACACACATGGCTGTAATAGTCAGTGGTGCACATGCTGTGACCGCTTCCATTAACATGCAGATGGGGATACAGAAGTGCAAAGGTAGTAAAACAAAGTTGTATGATAAGAGCACCACAAAATCTGTCAGAAAAAGAAACATTAGGTCTACCAGGAGAGAATGACCAAACAATATATAACGTGTCTCTGTTCTGAAAGTCTCTTTCTTGGAGAATATTAAGAGCATGAGGAAGATGAGGTAGATGAAGGGCCACACAAAGATCTGGGTCAGCACCAGTGAAATGTTCCTCCAGACGGGGTCAACTTGGATCAGTTGCATCTGCTCATTGCCACTGGCATTCATACTGGCCATTGTGTGCACATCTGAGAGAAAATTAGATAACAAAAACACACATGTGAGACATAAATAATGAGTAATCCTTGAGAAATACATAATCAGTATTTATAATACACACTATCAATAAGCTTCAAATATTTCTGCAGCCAAACAATTTCAGTTGACATAATTCCATTCTTGCATTTATGCATATACAAATAAAGAGAAAAAAATGTGAGTGATTGGAAATTTGGTAAAATTGGTAAGTTTCATTTACCATTATGAATGCAACTGTTATGCCCCAAGTTATATAGAGATTGCATTGTGACATATAATCTCAATATTTACATATAGCATACATTATCAATAAGCTTCAAATATTTATTTAGCCATAAAAATATATAATGTCAGTTTACATAATTGAAGGTCATGAAATCAGTTACAAATTGCTACATAATCTTGCTGTAATACTTACTGACAATAAGATTCTATTCTTTAGCCATGGTCATATATTAAGTGTAAGAAATGACAATGTGCACTGTGAACAAACATTTATATAGAGTTTAACAGAGCGAAACTCCTGTGGATGACATCAGCTTAGCTGATGGCATCTAGAGCTAAATTTAGATTTGGTTGTGTTTGGGGATAGACATGGAGCACTGAGACACAATCATGCATTCACATTTCTTTTATTTGCCATATACCATAAAAAGTCCAAATCTAGATTAGTACACAAACTAAATGAAGAGAACGAGCAAAAAACTGAAATGGTGTTAAGCCATTTTCTAATCCTCAGTGGATTCTTTTTCTCTTCCATGTGACATTAAAGTTACATTTTGACCATTTTTAACCTTGAAGACAAAACACACACACACACACACACACACACACACATATATTATCCTCCCGGAGCTGCTTCCATGTACAACTGTTGGCGCAAGCTAGATTAAAGTGATTAAAGTTTTGAATATGGATATTTTTCTTACAAAAACGCATCGATTCGATACAGGAGGCCTTTGTTCACCCCCGGAGCCGTGTGAGACCCTTTTTTATTATTAATGGATGTGCTTTATTTCACTTCTTTTGGACTAATGCACTTCAACACACGCTGACTGCCATTAAACAGCTTGGAAGATCAAAGACAATTTTTTTATATAACTCCGATTGGATTCGTCTGAAAGAAGAAAGTCATATACACCTAGGATGCCTTGAGGGTGAGTAATTCATGGGCTAATTTTCATTTTTGGGTGAACTAACCCTTTAACAAGCTCATTGGGCTTTATTCTTCACCGACTTCTTCAACCATGTCACGTACAGACCAGGGCATAAGAACCTCAAAGCGGATGCTCTCTCCCGAGTTCAGAGAACTCAGACAATAAGAGATGGCACCTCCTGAACCCATTCACCCTCCAGCCATCATTGTGAGTCCCATTGAGTGGGCCATCGAGGACCAGATAATTGAAGCCACCCGCTCTGAGCCAGGTCCACCAGTAAGTCCTGAGGGATGGATCTTCGTACCATCAACTCTATGCATGTCCCTCATGGACTCAGTTCATATATCTCCAGGCTCTGGACACCAAGGCAGCCAGCAAACCCTCTTGCTCCTCTGCAATCGGTATTGGTGGCCCAACATGACCCAGGATGTCATCCAATACGTGAAGGGATGATCAGTCTGTGCCGTGTCTAAGACCCCACGACACCTACCTGAGAGTAAACTGGTCCCACTGCCCATTCCTAGGCGACAATGGTCCCACATTGGAGTCGATTCATAACCGATCTGCCACTCTCCGAGAACCACACATGTATTCTGGTCATTGTACACAGATTCTCCCAGGCCTGCAAAGCACTTCCCCTAAAGGGTTTACCCACCGAATTGGAAACTGCAGAATTACTATTCCATCAAGTTTTCCACCATTTCAGTCTACATGAAGACATTGTGTTGGACAGGGGTCTACAATTTATCTCCCAGGTGTGGAATTCGTTCTTCAAGCTACTAGGAGTTTCTGTCAGCCTATCTTCAGGTTATCACCCTCAGACCAATGGCCAGACTGAGCGGAAAATCTGAGCCTGATCTCATGATGAAAACGTACCTGTGGTGACTTTTTTTGCAAAATGCGAAATACATAATGACATATTCGATGTGAAATCTCCACTAAGTGGCGCTAAAAGAGTGTTCGTTTTTTCCCCCTTGGAACAGATGAATGTACATATAATACATTTTATGTGACGTTTATGGTTTTGTATGTGTCAATGCAGTTCTGACTTGAAATGTCCGTTCAGTGGCGCTCCGTGACATTTTAAAATAACGTACCATCTGCAATACACCTAAACCTACCCGATAGTATAAACAAAAACAAATGTGGCATAAAAACACAATTGCAAGCATGCCATTTTAGCTTGTTTTTTGATCTCTCAGCTCTTTCTGTCACAGATCGGCCAGGCTCAGCCACCTCCCAATCACAGCGAACACCATCACCTGAGTACTGATCACACGCACCTGTCACAAATCTTGATGCAATCATCATCAGCTCCCCTTCAAAAGCACACACCTCACTTCACTCCAGTGTCCGGTCTCGTTTCAACGAAGTGGACTCTCTCTCTCTCTCTCTCTCCCGCTGTCTGGCGTCATCTGACGAGGAAAAGCGCTGTGATTCCTCTCTCTGTCTGACTTTGCTCTAGATCCCAGAGGCTCTCGGTTTCCTCTTCGTTCTCTCCTGTAAGAAACTCCAAGAGCAGATAGAGAAAAATGGAGGCCATTAAGAAGAAGATGCAGATGCTGAAGCTGGATAAGGAGAACGCCATCGACCGAGCGGAGCAGGCCGAGTCTGATAAGAAGGCAGCAGAAGACAAGTACAAACAGGTGAGACTGGGATCTGAGACTGATGAGTTCAGTGAGACGATCCTTACAGAAAGTGCTTGTGATGCCATTGTACAGTGATGCTATCAGATGGTTTTACTTTCATATATACTGTATGCTGTTTAAAAGTTTGGATACTTTACTGAAATGATATTTTTCATGATTTTTAAAATCTTTTACTCTAAAGCCTTCTATTTAACTGCTTAAAATGAGTTTTGAACACTAAAAAAAGACTTTATCAAATATTATTTGATCACATTTTACAAGTAATTACTATTTCAGTCTACTTCAAAATTTCACATTTAATTCAGTGTTACTTGCTGTTTCTTTGAATTGTTTGTGAAGTTTACTAGCAATTTCTGAGTGAAAATAGTTTCAAAGTAAATCATACATGTTTTTTCAGGATTTTTCTGCAAAATAGTTTTTTTCTGTTATTTTTTAATTATTTAATAATAAACTAAATAAAATAAATAAATCGCCATCTATCTATCTATCTATCCATCCATCCATCCATCCATCCATCCA